AGATAGATAGATAGATAGATAGATAGATAGATAGATAGATAGATAGATATCTAATGGGATTTTCTAAAATGTCTTCACAAAGCTGAGGGTAAAGCTCAGTTGCAGAGGGCTTGCCTAGCACACACGAAGTCTGGGTTTCATCACCAGCATTGCATAACGAAGACGCAAACCTAGCATTCCAGCCTTTGAAGGTGGAGGCAGGAGGATCAGGAGTTCAGGCTTGCCTTTGGCTACATATTGAGTTTGGGGCTAGCCTGGGCTACACATGACTTTGTCTCAAAATAACCACAAAAAAAGTATTTGAAGATTATATAGACAGTTCTATAAAGTTACATGACAAAGTTCAAAATTATACTTCTGTCAGAAATTAAATACTTTAAATGTTACAGTGCGCCCATAAGATTACTACTCTGTTTGTGGCTCTTCTGCACTGCCATGAGGAAACAACTGGTTTTTCCTCTGAATTCGGAAAGTCTATCTACATGAGGTACCCTCCCCTAAAATATGAGTTATATAGGACAAAAACAATCTGTTCCCTGTGCCAAATGTCATTCCCTAAGAGAACTCTGAGCGGGGTCCACTCTGAGCAACTGCAGGTGGCTCCTTCAAAGAAGGTAACGGAATAATTTGAAAAACAGCCACTCCCCTGAAGAAGTAAGAAAGGGCCAACAACGTGTGCTTACACGTATATGGGTGTGTGCACACACATCTTAAAGGCTAAGAAGGAACATCCTAAAATACTGGCAGTGGTTTTCTAAGTAGAGGTATTCTAGAAGTGTATTAAGTGATAGCTATGGGAAGCATGGGGCCACTTTGCCTAAATTAAATCCAACTCAATTTAAAATTCCCTCATTCCCTCCCTGCAGTCGTCACATTTCAAGGGCTTAACAGCCAAGGTAGCAAATGGCTACGGAATCAGACAAAGCGCTCAACCATCTCAGTTGTCACACAAAGGTCATTGGGACTGTGCTATTCTACATTACGTCTTTTTTTAATGCTCTCTCCAAATGTATTACAATATATGCTGCAGTCAACCCCTCTCTCCAAATGTATTACAATATATGCTGCAGTCAATCCCTCCTGCAAACGGGAGTGGGTGCTGTGAGAGAAAAAATATGGGGTCCACAGAAGCAGCAATCACACTAGAGGTGCAGAGGCTGCAGTCTCTACAGAGGAGCCTGGGGAAAATAGCAGCCTATGGAGACATTTTGGTAGTCACACTCGCTCGGGGACATCAGGAAAGGCTGAAAGGAGACATGAGTGCAGTAGAAATCCCAAGGGAAGAAGAGACACAGAAATTCAAGCAGCAGGGGTGGGGAAGGACGTCGTTAGAGCAAGAATCAGTGATTCTTGGCTCTCCCCACTCACCAGCCATTACAGCTGCTGACCGTTGAGCTGGCTCAAAAGGACATTTCCCCCGGCCACTCTCAAGTCTTTCAACCTGCTGGAAACTGGACACATCCTACAGATCAGAAGGGGAGGGGGCAGGTGGTTTAGGATTTATGGAGAAGGTTCACAGTGAGAATTAAACATAGGATCAAATGAAGGAAAAGCCCATCTCCACCCATATCCCATCCACCCCACTCCCGTCTCCGTATCCACCTTACTCCTGCTCCTCCACCCACTCATTTCTTTCTCTGGTTTATTCCTCTTTGCCCCCAGACCTGTCCTCCACAGTTCCCTATGAAAGCATACCTAGAATAGCCCTAGAAAATACCATGAAGCTGGACATAGACCTTTCCTCTGAAATTCTGGAGTCTGTAATGGCCTAGATGTGCTACAGCCAAAGAGGTGGAAGGAAGCAGACAGCCTTTTGAGGGCCAGCACTCTGAGGAAGGGCAAAGAAAGCCGTAAGTCTATGGGGACCAGCTGAAGCCCAGGGTCTTGAACAGAGAGTCACTCTCCCTCAGTTCCCACCCAAGGATAGAGGGGAAGGCCAGGGTTCCACATCCAAGCAGAGAAGGAAACTGAAGTCAGTGAAGAAGGACTAAGTCTTAGATCATGTTCTAAGAGATTGAGAGATATGTATTTCTTCTTCTTCCAGGGTCCTCCAGAGGGTGGGAGGTGGCAGACATAAGAGCTCCACCAGGGTCAGTCACAAGTGACTTTAGCGTACAGCACTAAGAGAGTCTCAAGACAATATCTAAAAGTGGAAATGAAGGATGCTTTCATGCTATGACTCAAAGGAACATTACTGCAGTTGGTTTCAAATCAAAGTTACAACATGGATATGCCAGGCATGCTGTCTCTAGCTCACAAACAGACCTCCACTGTGGCTCTAGCTTCATTGTTCTGATGACAGTTAGGGGTGGTAAGTAACAATGTGTCCCTTGAGCCTAATGCTGTTACTGGACTATGCCTGTCACTCCTCTCTTTGCAGCAGATGGCAAACAAGGTTTGATCCACTAAGACAATTCTTAAAGAAGGCCTGGGAAGATGAGGGGTGATCTGTTGGCTTCTCCAAAAGGAGAGATTGGATCAAAAGAGTGTTTTGGAATGAAAGACCCCCAAAGAAGGACAGCACTCCACATGTGTGACAGATAGAACATCCTTGCCCGAGGAGAAGGATGGTGGTTTTTGTGACTACCAAGGTGCTCAGGCAACCTTGAAGTTCAGTTAGCACCTACTGTGGCTGCACTTCTCTTCCAACCGAGCTACTCCTAGCACCCCCAATTTACTGCCATACTTAATCTTCCAGAATATCTCTCTCTCTCTCTCTCTCTCTCTCTCTCTCTCTCTCTCTCTCTCTCTCTCTCATGCACGCACGCGCACACACACACACACACACACACACACACACACACACACACACACGGCCCACCATTGCCCATGTGGTACAAACTCTAACCCAACCTACTTCTTTCTTACTACCTCTCAATATGATCTTTGTTCTGTCCAAACAAAGTACCTATTGTTCCAGAAACCAAACTGTTTTCCCATCCCTGTGCCTAAAACTGTTCCCTTCCATTTCACCAAAGACCCAAGATGGGCCTTTTCCTGATCCCTATTCACTTCAATCTCTGTGTATCGATGGGCATGTTCAATTCATTTCCTTGAAATATCCCACTCCTTGGCTCTGAAAACTCTCTTCCTGGAGTCTTTCCTCCAATCTGATATTTGTTTCTCTAGCTCCTTCTTTTGCTAGCTCCACCATGTTTATCCTTAGGCTCTATCTATGGTCTTTCTAACATGTCCTCAAACATCCCATTCATTCTTATATTTCCAGTCTTTCTATGTAAACCACTGGCCCAACTCTCTGAGACTGATGCCCTCCAATGAGTCCATATTCCATCGACTGCTGGGCTTTCTCACAATACTTACCTGCCAGTTTCTTATATCAAGACTAGCTCCCTCCCAGTTTTCCCTATGGCATAACCATATCATCTAATCTTCTAACCTTTGAGAAATAGGTTCAGATTATCCTCTGGTTATCAAATAGGTTCTGACTATTAAAATGACCTTGAACTAGGGTATGAAAATGGAAGATGGTCTCACTGGTTTTCTCTATCTGTATGCAGAGATTCTTCATTACATCACCATGTCAGTAGACAATCTCACTGTCAACTCTGGTGAAGGCAAGTCCCTAAAGGTGAAATCTGGGGATGGATAGGAAGGCTCTCCTGAGCAGTGAAGCTGGAGTTGGTCCTTTGGCCTTACCCGAGAAAAATAAACAGAAGGTGTTTCCTCTCCCAGATAGAAAAACAACAACAACAGGATTCTCCAAGATGACTGAATCATGTCAAATGCTATAAGAGATCAAAGTCAGACGAAGCCCCTTAGGTTGCAGGCTGGCCATACAGACAGGGTTATATTATAGAACATATCTAGACCAACCGAAGTTCAAATATTGGCTCTGTTTCTTCCCTTCTAGCTACATAATATTAGCCATAATATCTAATTTCTCTTTTCTTGCATATAAAATAGAAATAAATCATACCTGAATAACATGATATGGTGATAAAATTAATTGTGAATATAAGGTACCTAAGCCTGCAACAGAGTGAGTGGCCATTGCTTCTCTGGTCAGTATTGAAGCCTAGTATTTTTCTCTTTTAATGCCTGGAATTCCCTCAACAAATCATGTGTGATGGAAGCTGGCACTGAAAGACAGCTCTCTTGCTAAAACCGTTAGCTCCAGGGTTTCATAAGGTCCTTCATTTCTCCACAGTCATCACACACTGAGTTGTGTCTAGATCAAAGATGTCAGGGAACAGTTATCCACAGCCTCAGCCTCATTACTCAGGGTGCTTCAGCACTAATGGAAAGCAGGAACATAACCAAACAGAGTAAGAGAGTAAAAGCAGAGGAGGATGTCCAAAGGGTCCACAGAGCAAGAGCAAGCTCACAGTGGATCCTGGCAGGCTATTAGAGCTAATCTTCTCCCTCCAGAGAACGGCCCCTCGGTTCATGAGTCTGTTAGATAAAAGGCTTCAGAGAAAACGCTGCAGATGAAATGAACTGGTGGGACACAGAACCCTGGCCACACTCTTCATTACCTAAATCTCTCAAGAATAGATAGGGGCCCAAGACACTCCAACCAGCGCAGGCATTCACGGAATATATTCCATCTTGGTACTTTGGCGAGGACCCACTAGGGTCGCAACTCAGAGATCCAAGGAAGAAAGGAAAGTCCAAGGAGATGAGCTGGGATGGTCAGAGTATGCCTGAGCAGACTGGGAAAAACAGCCCTACTACTTTGTGGGCCTGATGGCAACTATAGAGAACTAAATCCTCAGTACGGGTTGATAGGATTCAGAGGGTTCCAAGTACTATCCAGAATGAATAAACTTATCCAGACTTTTGTAAAGAGCATGTGGAAAGAATGCAACAAGCCCAACTAAACCTGAGGAAAGCCATGAGGACTGCCTGCATCCATCCTAAACCCGAGACAGGAGGATGCTGTAGAAGAGAGGGTTTGAGGGATACACACTATCTAGGCCCAAATGGATCACTGTATTAGTGCAGACTGCAGAACAGTCTAGTCAATATCTGTAGTTCAGGATCAAAGCCAAGAAAGAAACATGGTGGACACCGCTGTGTGCAAAGGACGTAGCCTTTCTGACTCACCCCAGAAATCAGTCACAAGTCTGCTGCCAGAAGACCAGTGGTGACCACTGTACAATTCACAGCGAAAGGTCAGAGTTCCAAACATGTAGTTGTGACTAGACTAGACATCACTAAGAATATATCCACGCCAAGCCTGCCTGGGTTTGAGGGTGGGAAATCCCACAGGCTTTCACCGATAAACAAGCTCTAGAAAAAAAAATGTGGTTGACAGGGTGGCTCACCCCAAAGATTCAGAGCACAGAGCCAGCTGGTACCACATTACAGGGTGGTGACATCAGAAGTCATGAGAGTCACACCCTGCAGAGGATGGGGCTGGCAGAGGATGACAGAAATGATGAGGCATGCTATGGGAGAAGAGAACCCGAGCTGTTCTAATGAAGAAGCAGGCTCCAGCTGCTGGGCCGAAGCACCTACCGGACAAAGAAGCATGTGTGTATGGCTTCTGAAGCATCTCTTGGATTTGTCCAGTTCCGAGGCCAACCAGCAACCCTAACCCCACTCACTATCTCTCTTCATCTTGTTACACTTAGCATAATCTACCCTCTACAGACAACCCCCCTTCCCCACTCCAGTAGCCTTCCCCTGAAGGCAGACAAAGGCCCTACCCTATGAAGACATCCTTTACCTCCTAATACTTATCCTACATAGTGGTTGTCTTAACCATGCCCAACATGGTCACCCCCAAAAGCCCCTTCCCACCCTCCCACCCACCACCCCCAAGTAACTCACACTGCTGCAGGCTCCCTCTCCCTCTGCCCCTGTCACTCACAATAACCCCGCACTTCGGATCAAAAGCGAAGGTGCCGCACGTGAGGAGATGAGAGGCGTTGGCAATAGCGAGAATCTGGATAAAATTGTGACATTCTTCCTGGGGGTGGGGGGGTCAGAGATGGTTAGAATCAGAAGCAGTGGGGATGAGGAAGGACAGCAGTGGGTACAGATAGTTAGAGGCAGCCATGATATGGGGACGTATGGGCGATGGTGTTAGAGTCTTTGCCTGGACCCTTCAGGATAGGAGCACTGCTGGGGGCTGGGCCAAGATCTCCACAGACACTCAAGAAAGCGTGTGGACTTCCACCTACCTCTTTCTTGCCTTTCTTCCTACAGTTCTGTCTGTGAGTCTCAGGCACCATCCAGTCGATCTGAGAAAGAAGAAGAACTCATTTCCCCAGGTTCCTCTCCCGCCCCTGCACACTGAGGCCAGGGGAAAAGAGACAGTTCTACAAACTTCAACAATCTGGAAACTTCTAAGATTCCCCACTCTCTACACTTCCTTTCCAACTGGAAGTCTCCCACCAGCTAATGAGTAACAAAATCAACTGTGAGATCAAAACCACATTTTTACTTTGAGACAGGGTCTCAAGGCATCCCAGGCTGTCCTCAGACTGGTTATAGGGCGGAGGATGGCCTTGAACATCTGATCACCTTGTCCTCTCCTCCTCAGTTCTGGGATCACAGGCATATACCTCTACAACAGACTTTATGTGGTGCTGGAGAGCACATGCAGGGATTTGTCCGTGCCAGGCAAGCACGTCACCCACTGAGTAAACACTCAACCCCAAACCACATTTAAGGAAATAGAATATATCAGAAGTTATGACTTTATGACTGACTATGCTGTTCCGAGTTTCCATCAGGACACATTTACAATTCTGTGCACTGTGCCACAGTATACTACAGTTCTTACTAATACACGGTGAAATCAACTTCCAAACTCCCTATCTCTGAAACCCACCATACTAGTGATACCACTGCCCACTGCCCTTGAAACATGCCACTGAGCCCTTCTGCCATCTTTATGCCTCCCTCAGAGCATCCCTCATCACGTCTCCCCCTCACAGCAGACACAGGTAAGAAAACCCCCTTCCCATGATCTCCTCCCTTACTGGTAGACAAGGGTTTTACACCTTGTGAGGGTATCCTCTGCCCAGGCCTCTACTCCATACAGTGATGCTCTTACCGATACCCACCACAGTCACTCACAGAAAACCCTTCCCACCACCCACCACCCCCAAGTAACTCACACTACTGCAGGCTCGCTCTCTCTCTCTCTCTCTCTCTCTCTCTCTCTCTCTCTCTCTCTCTCTCTCTCTCTCTCCCCTTCTGCTCCATTACATCTTTAGTTATTATGAAACTCTCACACCTACATCCCTCAAGATGATGGATTGAAATGTATGCTACAGGCTCTGGGTTACCCCCACTGTCATCTCTCACCCTTCGGGGTCGTTCCCCAGAGAAGGGCAGGGTTAAAGCAAAGATGCTGTCCCGCGCACCGACGTAAAGTGTGTGAGATGCAGGATCCACAAGGAGAGCAGAGTAATTGTACGTATGAGGGGCCGAAAACCGGGTGAGACAGGAGTCAGCCTCTGGCAGGAAGAGAAGGGGAGAGAAGAGTGACATCAGCCATCCTGTCGGAAACACCGGGTCCCCAAAAGGGGTGATTTCTGTTGTCTTTCAAGGACTATTTATTTGGTAGCCAACAAGAGGAAAAACAGAACTTCCACAAGCCAACCATCTTCCTGTCCCCCCAGTGGAAGATAACTGAGAAGGCACACGACCCAGTCAGACATGCTTTTTCTATAAA